TATATATATATATATATATATATATATATATAAATCGACAGTGTTCCATGACTCTTATATGTCAGTATAGTATCATGTTGGGGTCACACTGGGGTCACGATGTGGTCACGATGGTATCACACTGGGGTCACACTGGGGTCACGATGGTGTCACACTGGGATCACACTGGGGTCACGATGAGGTCACGATGGTGTCACACTGGGGTCACTATGAGGTCACGATGGAGTCACACTGGGGTCACACTGGGCACGATGAGGTCACGATGGTGTCACACTGGGGTCACTATGAGGTCACGATGGAGTCACACTGTCACACTGGGGTCGCGATGAGGTCACGATGGTGTCACACTGGGGTCACTATGAGGTCACGATGGAGTCACACTGGGGTCACACTAGCTGTATGATCTAAAATGCGCGAAGCACAAAACTGCCCTGAATACACAATAATTCTGTCCTCGTGTTTACATTATTTTATTCACCGACCACAGGAAACTTCTTCGTCAATAAGGAATTAGTTTTCATATTAAATTCTCCCAGAAGAGATAAAGGATTATATTGGACCTATATTTCTGTGTGTGTGTGTGTGTGTGTGTGTGTGTGTGTGTGTGTGTGTGTGTGACTAAAACACCCACCTCCTCAAACCTCTATTTCAAGTGCAAGCGTCAGCCAGATCGTTGAGTTACCCCTGAAAATAATAATAATAATAAAACCGTTTTCTCTGTTTCTGTGTCTAGAGATATTCGGCAACTGAGAGGCGTTACAGTACATAAATAATATTACAGCACCTTACAGCTCATAGTTCTTGTTTCTTATCACATAATTATGAAACATCGGTTTATTGGGGGGTAATAATTGAATTTTACCAACACTGTAAAATTACTGTTCGTTGTTATTACTTTACCAGACAGACAGAGTACCTATTGGCCGTAGTATAAGTCATAATTATGTTTACCAGGTAGTTAGTTATCAATTTGCCCATTTCGTTAATTGATTGCATTAATTATTTACAAATCACTTAATTACTCATTTGCTTTATTAAACCAACTAATTAATTTCTATTATTTCATATTCAATCCCCTATTTAACATTTAACTACTTTACTTAATTAATTGACAAGAACATTTATTTACCAACTAATCACCTACTTAGCTATTTACCTTACCTTTACCCAAATAATAGTCATTCTCTTATTTAACTATTATTTTACCTGGCCAAATAGCCACATCAATTACCTGCTAAATGTTTATTATCTTCAATACTTGACTACTCACTTCCTTAATTACTTTCAGCCACCAGGTGAGAGTGTTCAGGTGAGCCATGGAGCCACATGTCTAGCCAGGTGACTGTACTGTGTGTGTGTGTGTGTGTTAATTATTGTTCGTTTAGACTGTAAGAGAATCCCTCACACACACACACACACGCACACACACACACACATGTCTAAATAAACTCACGTGTAAGGGACGGAGGGAGGGAGGGAGGGAGGGAGGGGGTAAGGGGGGTGTCTCAAGAGTCACCCATGTGTGTTCATTTTTTTCCTCATAATATTATAAATCATTTCTAAATTCTTGTCAACAACATTTACAAAGTTACTCTAATTTGCCCAGGGAGAGACAGGTAAACTCAGGTAATTGTACAAGTTCACCCAGAGGTCAACAATTACTGAGAAACAATACACACACAAGTCCTCTCATTGTACGTGTTAAATCTGTTGGTTGGCTGGTTAAGTTAGGTTAGGTTCGGTTAGGTTAGGTTAGGTTAGGTTAGGTGTGTGTGTGTGTGTGTGTGTGTGTACCACTCTTCAGGCCGAAACAAAAAAAAATTCTTTTAGACGAAATTCCTGACAGATTGCCAGGCAGACAGACAGACAGACAACCAAACACAGACAGACAGACAGGGTTTCAATACTAACAAAGCATTATGTCTAGTCCTGGGAATTTTCTTAAGTAGAGTGTATAAACGTGACCAAAACATATAAAACAAAAAATAAAACCTCCCTAAATAAAGAACAACAACAAACAACAACAAAATAACAAACAACAACAAAAAACAACAATCAATAACAAAACAAATAACAAACAACAAACAAACAAACAACAAAGAATAAATAACAGATTAGGGTTTAAAAAATAATAAAAAATTATTGAGATGTAAACACGACCCAGAACGTAAACACAAACACGATCATAATAAACAGACGCTGCCAACACGTGACATTTACATGACTTACAGGGCTGACTAACATACATACATACATACATACACACCCCCTGTACATACATACATTCACAACTCGAATAAGGAATAAATAAAAATTAACGTTTCATATTAATAAGAAACGTCTGTTGTTACATTACACTGTCTTGAATGACATTATACGTGGTACTGTTGTTGTTGTTGTTGTTGCTATTGTTGTTGTTGTTGTTGTTGTTGTTGGTAGTAGTAGTAGTGGTAGTAGTAGTAGTAGTAGTAGTAGTGTAGTAGTAGTAGTAGTAGTAGTAGTAGTAGTAGTAGTAGTATTATAGTAGTCGTGATGGTGTTTAGTGGGAGTATTTTAACATGACGATAAGGTTAGCGGGAGAAAAGTGGTGGAGAGTGTGGGTTGTTGGGCAGGGGGGAGGTGCCATAGGGTTGGGTAGAGGGAGCAAAGGGGTAGGGTAGAGAAGACGAGGTGTGGTGGGGTGGGACAGACGAGTGAGGAGGAAGGGAAGGTGGGGGCACGGAAGTCTTCACCTGCCAAATAGGTGGGTAGTAGGTGGGTGAGTGGGTGGGTAGGGATGGTAGGCTCAACTTGGCGATGCCCTTGGTTCACCAGCCCAGGTATCTCACACACACACACACACACACTCACTCACACACTCACTCATACCCAGCGCCCACCCGCACTCTCTCTTAATCTCTCTCGGTTGGCCAGCGATACGGTCAACTGAAATTGATCCTCACAGTCTTGTCAATTGTCACAGTGATGACCTTGTGAGCACACGGAGGCCCTTTGGGAAGTTGAGACGTGGTTGAGAGTGGGTAGGTCCTGAAACAGTTTACTTTGAACAACTGAACACTCGAAAGTAATTTTATACTAGTTAAACAAAGTGGTCGTCTCCTGGTCATTGGAGACATTAAAGTGGTCTTCTCCTGGTCATTGGAGACATTAAAGTGGTCTTCTCCTGGTCATTGGAGACATTAAAGTGGTCTTCTCCTGGTTATTGGAGACATTAAAGTGGTCTTCTCCTGGTTATTGGAGACATTAAAGTGGTCTTCTCCTGGTCATTGGAGACATTAAGGTGGTCTTCTCCTGGTCATTGGAGACGACAAAGCAGTTCCCTTAAGGTGCTGAAAACGCTATTGGAAAAGTGAGTTCTACTGTGGACATCAAACACCTTATACGCAGAACAGTGTGATTCTTGAGACTGTGTAAACAAAGGCAAACAAGGGAAGGGAATCATTGTGAGTTCATAGTGTGTTGTAAACAAGATCAAACAAGTTCGTCAATAAGTGAGAGGGGTCTTGGTACAGGTGTGGATGTTGGTTGTTCCCTGTTGTGAGAGGTAACAAGCTGAGAATGTTAAAAGACACTGCAGAAAGTGAGACGCAGTGGCCTGACGCAGTGGCCTGATGCAGTGGCCTGACGCAGTGGCCTGACGCAGTGGCCTGACGCAGTGGCCTGACGCAGTGGCCTGACGCAGTGGCCTGACGCAGTGGCCTGACGCAGTGGCCTGACGCAGTGGCCTGATGCAGTGGCCTGACGCAGTGGCCTGATGCAGTGGCCTGACGCAGTGGCCTGACGCAGTGGCCTGACGCAGTGGCCTGATGCAGTGGCCTGACGTGGCCTGACGCAGTGGCCTGATGCAGTGGCCCTGACGCAGTGGCCTGACGCAGTGGCCTGACGCAGTGGCCTGATGCAGTGGCCTGACGCAGTGGCCTGACGCAGTGGCCTGACGCAGTGGCCTGACGCAGTGGCCTGACGCAGTGGCCTGACGCAGTGGCCTGATGCAGTGGCCTGATGCAGTGGCCTGACGCAGTGGCCTGACGCAGTGGCCTTTTGTTTGCTCAGGGCACACAATCTACGGCCCGCAGTAAACAACCCCCTCAAATGTTGTCTGTTTAATGTGTCCTCCCAGAGAATTTCCGCCAACTCTTTTCTGTTAAATGTTTTCAACCTTGTGCTTCCCGTCAATTGCTTCCCGGTAATATTTCCGGCAAATTCTTCCCGTTAGAAGTTTCCCACCTTATGGAAAACTCTTGACAATGGTTACGCTCAGTGCCTTAAGAAACACCAAGCATATAAAAAACTTTTCCTTCAGTAAACTGTTGAGGATTTTTTCCAAGATGTATTTAAATTGAACACATTAATTCCAGAAATATGCTGTAATTTTAATTTGATTAAAATTTAATCCAAAGAGTAAAATGATTTCGAAATTGTGTCAAATTATCTGAGATTATCTGAACATCTTCAAAATTATACATCATGTCTTAATGTTCATAATTGCTTTAGCTGTGGTTGTTTACACGCGTGCGCAGGCTGTGCTAATATGTCGCAATAGCTGTGAGTCGCCGCAGCTTTGAGTCGCCGCACGCAGCTGTGTACCGCCGCAGCTGTGTCACCACAAGTGTCACGCTGTCGCAAGTTCAGGGTAAAGAATGACACTCCTCTGCCGCCCTTAAGATGAGCACCACCCTCGTCAGCCTTGTGGTCGTGTACACCTCCTCTCCACCCTGACTATTTCTAAAAGCAGCTCACGTGCACAACACTAGTGCCAAATAGACTCAGTTTCATGGTGTCATCAGTGCCATATTACCCAGCTAATACCTCATGACACAGCCTCGGCGTCACCTAACCTAACCTAACCTCAATGTGGCGTCAGGTGTATGTATGTGTATATATATATATATATATATATATATATATATATATATATATATATATATATATATATATTGTGTGTGTGTGTGTGTGTGTGTGTGTGTGTGTGTGTGTGTCCGATAACATCACTGCCATACACCGCTGTCAAACATCATACATCACTAGCGTTACACACACACACTGAAAAGATGTACAGGAGGATAATAGTTTCATTAATTAATACAACAAGTGACAACTGTATCACCAAACATTGGAGAGCTCAGAACATGTCGCTTTGTTTATGTTGACACTAGCTTTTGTTTTTGTTTTCTTACTCCTGATCGTCTTTTTGTTTTATACGTGTACAAGATCCGTGTTAGTGTATATTGACATAACCTAACCTAACGTAACCTAATCTTGTTTGTGTTGTGTTTACAGAAGACAGGAGAGGCGACTTAACGTTTTGTTTATAATTGTTACGAATACAAACAATAAACTCCCTTCCAGTGAGACCACCAAACAACACCACGTCCTGATGAAGTCTTAACTAGCAGTCTTAACTAGCTGTGCTATTTATGATATAATACTCACTAGTTGAAAGATTATCCGAGAGTTCTCAGAAAAAAAGGCCCTTCAAGCACTACCACCACCACAACAACCAGCACTACCCCCGTTTACTGTTACACCACCATTGCCAACGTCACCGTCACCACCATTGCCACCATCACTACCAACGTCACCATCACTACCAACGTCACCATCACTATCAACGTCACCATTTCCTACATCTGCCTTCCGCTCTTAACGCCAGGTAAGTCCTTTTTGTCGTGCGGTTTTGTGTGTTTAGTGTGAAAAGTAATGCAGGTGTGAAACATTTAACTAACTATCTAATCTTGATAGAAAGTGTGATAGAAATTAGATACGTAAACAGAATAATAATAATAAACTAATAATCGATAAGATATAAAACTCACTCAGCCAAGACCCTCTCCTTCCTTAGAAACCTTCCTCCCATCATTGTATCCACTCCTCACCTCCTCTTCCCCTCCCCTCACCCGTGACTCACCCCCTTACCCTGGGCCAGATCTTGTCATCAGTTGGCAAGTCTTAATCTACCATCTTAATGTGATATTAAAAAAAAAAAAGTTTAATGGCTCGAACTGGAGGCCAGTAGTGTGTGTGTGTGTGTGTGTGTGTGTGTGTGTCTTCTGCACCTTGGGGTCGTTAGTATTAAAGTCAGGTTTTATAATTAAGCACCAAATTGTAAGGTGGTTTTTCTGCTTTAAAGAAGATTACTAATACAGCGCCTCTCCTCCTTCCTACCTCACCCTTGCCCTTTGACCTCACACTGGCTTTCACTCTCGTCGTCCTCACCCTTGCCCTCACTCTTAATCTTACCTTTGCCTTCACTCTTGCCCTCGCCCTCACCCTCACCCTTGCCCTCAACCTTGCCATTGACCACACCTTCACCTCTGACATGATTTACTAACTTGGCGCGAGTCACTCAACTACTACTAAAAAACATTCTCCTCTGATGATAAACACAGTCAGTAAAGTCAGTCAGTAAAGTCAGTAAACAGTCAGTAAAAACAAGTGAAAAAACTCGTTATGAAGTTGCAAGCCAAAGGTGACCCCAGTCCATGTGAATTTAACCTAACCTAACCAAACCTAAAGCTAATCTAACCTAACCTAACCTGGCAAATGGATTCACAGTTCACTATATTATTACGTTCGATGTTTGGAAGTAATGGAGTTGGGTGTCGGAGCTACTGTTTTCATAGCGGTAGTTATAGCGCCGCTTCTTTCAATAAAAAGTAGTGAAAGCAGAAGCTACATTTTAGAAGGAATTCCAACTTCTACTCGATATTTTTACAATACTTTACTTGTGGCAGTACAGTCTTTCGAAAACGACACCAGAAAATTGTTAGACCTTCTGCTCCCCACTTAGCAATCTATATGAGCAGGTGGCCGAGTGTACAGTGTGTGTGTGTGTGTGTGTGTGTGTGTGTGTGTGTGTGTGTGTGTGGTGTGTGTGTGTGTGTGTGTGTGTGTGTGTGTGTGTGTGTGGTGTGTGTGTGTGTGTGTGTGTGTGTGTGTGTGTGGTGTGTGTGTGTGTGTGTGTGTGTGTGTGTGTGTGTGTGGTGTGTGTGTGTGTGTGTGTGTGTGTGTGTGTGTGTGTGTGTGTTGATCCTTACCTTCCTGTCGGCAGCTGAGTTGTCACTTCGCTATTTTTTTTTACTAGATCTTTGGTTTTGTCAGACCTTTAGACCTTGGATTGCTTTTTCTTAGTAAAGCTCCATGATTTATGTGTTTTTGAGTCATTCATATCCCATAAGGTTACCATGTTAAGAGACTGATAGCGGCCAGGTGGACCCAGGAAGGAATTATGGCGCCATTGAAAGTTTGTTTACAAGTTGACAGGGAAATATTCCAAGGATGCAGGTACAGATATATATTAATCATAAGTATGCATAACTATTATCCATTAATAAAATATTTTGATTTCGGTTCTAAATATTCCGATAAACCACTTAATTGAAGAATCTTACACACACACACAGACACACCTATACAACGATAACATTTCCCTTAAGCTAAAAAAGATAAGTATTTGAGCAACACAGAAGTACTAAGGTGTCAGTGTCCAGGTAAAACATAAGTGTGTGCACGGAAGATCGTGACAGTTGAAACCTTACGGAAAAACAAAACAGAGAAGAGGCAAATTTGCAGAAGAAGAGGTGAAATCAAGTGTTTGGGAGTTCACTAATAGGTTTTAACAACATATAGAAAGCCTTGATGTCGAAGTGGAGTGTCGACATCGTGATATCATTGGGTTAGTCGACCACATACTAGGCTGGATGAGAGAGTTTACAGCAGGGCAACAACACCCGATAGTGTAGTAACAAGTGAAAGTTTGAACGCCTGTGCTTGGCTAGCGTACAGCGAATGAGGGTGTGCCAAGTCCTTAGACTCGTATGGTTAATTAGGGTGCGCCAAGTCCGTAGACTTGCATCGTTTTCCATCGTAAATAAAATGGTTCATTAATGCCTTCCTAAAGAAACCATCGACATGGGACCAGGTTTGTTCCACTCTACGAATTTTTTGCGATTTTTCCACCAAGTTTGATGAAAATGATTGTGCCGTTTCGGCTGCCCAGAACAGATACACACACGGCTAGTCTTATAGTACATATATTAGATAGATACTAATTTTATTCTTGACTGTAAAAATATGATTACAACTTTAAGTACATTACTTTGTTTACATATTAAGTTTTTCTTGGTGATTATAAATGTGTATTTTTTATTTCCCCAACACTCTGTGACGTGATATAATCGGTATCCATGTCAAGTCCCACCTAACATGTACACAACCACCTCAACTAGTTATGGCTCCACTCCAAGTAATATTAAATTCTGAGCACCACTCCCGCGAAGGAATGAGGTCAGACCAATACACGGCAAAATAAAAGTGAAGTAAGTTAACGGAAGTATTGTGAAATATTACCTTCATTTTCCAATAACCTGGCACAGACAGCGCATGCTCAGAGCTCCACCTGTATTTATAGTTAGCATTACTTTTACTATAGAGCCAGTATACTCGACTCGCAAATAACATAAATTACTGTATATTGAGCTAGCTAGTTCTATTGCGAATAACATGTATATACGCATGTTTCGTAGTTTAAATAAATGTGTACTGGTTTAAAAGTCTTTGAACTTCACTGTGTCTCCCGCCCGACAACAGATCTCGTGGTTGACCGTCGACATTCACCGAGGCAGATAATGTAAACACTTCAACTACCACCCACCACACTACTACGCTCTCCTCAACAAAATACAACAAAATAAATAATAAATACAAATGGTTAGGAGGACTTTGTTTTTTCGTATTTTTTCTCAAGAGTCTAAAAACAACATAATGTAAATCATAAAATTAGAGTTTTATGCAAATTATATGCAAATACATAAATAAGTTTAATATTAGTGGTGTTTATAATAATTGTTTGGCATTATATCCTCCAAAACACACACACACACACACACACACACACACACACACACACACACACACATAAAATCATTCTTGTTTCTGTAAATAATGTTGGTGAGTTTTTACTAACAGAGTTCACAACACTCACTCACTAACTCACACAAACACTCACTAACTCACACAAACACTCACTAACTCACACAAACACTCACTCACTCACACAAACACTCACTCACTCACACACACATCACTAACTACCACACTCATACCAATCTCACACAAACACTCACTAACTCACACAAACACTCACTAACTCACACAAACACTCACTCACTCACACAAACACTCACTCACTCACACAAACACTCATACCGAGAATATAGAATCAATACAAAGCAGAGACAAGATAGTGTAAATAAATAATCGAATTTTGCCACATATTTCCCTTAATAACTCATATATGTATGTATGTATCTATGTATGTATGTATGTATGTATGTATGTATGTATGTATGTATGTATTATGTATGTATGTATGTATGTATGTAAATTCGCATAAATAAACTCTAGCCCTCTAAGGTGCTGTTTGAAGACCTTAAGCTTGACCTTTAACGACGGTGAGGGTGGAGGGTGAGGGTGGAGGGTGAGGGTGGAGGGTGAGGGGTGAGGGTGAGGGGGGGTGAGGGTGAGGGTGGGGGTGAGGGTGAGGGTGAGGGGAGGGGGGTGAGGGTGAGGGTGGGGGGTGAGGGTGAGGGTGGAGGGTGAGGGTGGAGGGTGAGGGTGGAGGGTGAGGGTGGAGGGTGAGGAGGGTGGAGGGTGGGAGGTGAGGGTGAGGGTGAGGGTGGAGGGTGAGGGGTGAGGGTGGAGGGTGAGGGTGGAGGGTGAGGGTGAAGGGTGAGGGTGAGGGTGAGGTGGAGGGCGGAGGGTGAGGGTGAGGGGGGAGGGATAGGGGTGAGGGTGGAGGGTGAGGGTGAAGGTGGGAGGGTGGAGGGTGAGGGGTGAGGGTGAGTTGAGGGTAGAGGGTGAGGGTGGAGGGTGGAGGGTGGAGGGTGAGGGTGGGAGGGTGAGGGTGGAGGGTGAGGGGAAGTGAGGTGGAGGGTGAGGGGTGAGGGTGAGTTGAGGGTAGAGGGTGAGGGTGGAGGGTGGAGGGTGAGGGTGGAGGGTGAGGGGTGAGGGTGGAGGGTGAGGGTGGAGGGTGAGGGTGGAGGGTGAGGGTGGAGGAGGTGGGAGGGTGAGAGGGTGGAGGGTGAGGGTGAGGGTGAGGGTGAGGGGTGAGGGTGGAGGGTGAGGGTGGAGGGTGAGGGTGAAGGGTGAGGGAGAGGGTGTGGGGGAGGGGGAGGGTGGGGAGGGCGGAGGATAGGGGTGAGGGTGGAGGGTGAGGGTGAAGGTGAGGGTGGAGGGTGAGGGGTGAGGTGACGTTGAGGGGAGAGGGTGAGGTGGAGGTGGAGGGTGGAGGGTGAGGGTGGAGGGTGAGGGTGGAGGGTGAGGGTGAAGGTGAGGTGGAGGGTGAGGTGAGGGTGAGTGAGGGTAGAGGGTGAGGGGTGGAGGTGGAGGGGAGGGTGGAGGTGAGGGGTAGGTGGAGGGTGAAGGGGAGGTGAGGGTGGAGGGTGAGGGTGGAGGGTGAGGGTGGAGGGTGAGGGGTGAGGGTGGAGGTGAAGGTGGAGGTGAGGGTGAAGGGTGAGGTGAGGGTGAAGGTGGAGGGTGGAGGGTGAGGGTGAAGGGCGGAGGGTAGGGGTGAGGGTGGAGGGTGAGGGTGAAGGTGAGGGTGGAGGGTGAGGGGTGAGGGTGACGTTGAGGGTAGAGGGTGAGGGTGGAGGG